AGACTGAGACAGAAGGATCACCTGAATACAGCAGATCAAGTGTGCGGTGGCCGTGAGCATGCCACTGCACTCATCCTGTGCGACAGAGTAAAAGTACTACTCAAAAAAAAAAAAAAGCCTGATTCTCTACAACCTAAGTTCCAATAAAGGAGTAAAATGAACTCTAAACCATTGTCAGGATGGAATACAGTTTTAAGACTGGTCCCTACCTCTGATAAGTTCTTGCCACAGGCCTGGGCTTCTGGGATACACAGCTTGCAGAAATTCAGATCTTGAGAAATCTGGGTAAAAGTACATGTTGCATGAAAGAGGAGAAGATACCATGACTTTGCATTTCTAAGTGGTGAGGTCTCTCCTTCAATCGAAAGATCAGCTCCTTCGCAGTGCCTCAGCACCGTGAATGGGGAGAATCACTTGAGACCAGGAGTTTGAGACTAGTATGGGCAACTTAGTGAGATGCCATCTCTACAAAAAATTTAAAAATTAGTCAGGCATGGTGATGTGCACCTGTAGTCCTAGCTACCCAGGAGGCTAAAGTAGGAGGATCACTTGAGCCCAGGGATTTGAGGTTACAGTGAGCTATTATCACACCACTACATTCCAGCCTGGGTGACAGAGGAAGACCCGACTCAAGAAAAAAAAAAAAGCCAGGCCCAGTGCCTCACATCTGTAAATCCCAGCACTTTGATAGGCGGAGGTGAGAGGATTCCCTGAACCCAGGGTTTGAGACCAGCCTGGGCAACTTGGTGAGACCTCACCTCTACAATAAATTAAAAAAAAAAAATTAGTGAGGCGTGGTGGTGTGTGCCTGTAGTTCCAGCTACTTGAAAGGCTGAGGCAGAAGGATCGCCTGAGCACAGCAGGTCAAGGCTGCGGTGGCCATGAGCGTGCCACTGCATTCCAGCCGGGGTGACAAGAGTGAGACTCTGACTCAAAAAAAAAAAATCTTCTGTATATCAAATTATATACAGCAGTACCCTTTGACTTGGTTGTTCCTTGAATTTATCCATCCTAAGACCATCACAGAAATGTACAAGCAATCTCAGCTGCTTAGATAGAACTACAAGGTCAGGTGTGGTGGCTCAAGCCTGTAATCCCAGCACTTTGGGAGGCCGAGGTGAACGGATTGCCTGAGCCCGCGGGTTCGAGACCCGCCTGGGCAACTTGGTGAGACCTCATCTCTACAATAAATCAAAAAATTAGCCGGGTGTGGTAGCGCGCGCCTGTAGTTCCAGCTACTTGGGAGGCTGAGGCAGAAGGATCGCCGGAGCCCAGCAGGAAAGGCTGCGGTGGCCGGGAGTGGCCACTGCACTCCAGTCTGGGCAACAGAGTGAGACTCCAACTCAAAAAAAAAAAAAAATTAGCCAGGAGTGGTAGTGTGCACCTGTAGTTCTGGCTACTTAGAAGACTGAGGCAGAAGATTCACCTAAGCCCAGCGGGTCAACACTGGAGTGGCCAGGAGCTTGCCACTGCATTCCAGCCTGGGCAACAGAGAGAGACTCTGACTCAAAAAAAAAAAAAAAAAAAAGATAGGACCACAAACTCACAAAACCTTCTGGAAAGTAACTGGACAACATATGAAGAATCTTTAAAAAGTTTGTTTTCTGCCTGTAATCCCACACCTTTGGGAGGCTGAGGTGAGTGGATTGCCTGAGCCTGTGGGTTCGAGACCCGCCTGGGCAGGCGAGACCTCATCTCTACAATAAATCCAAAAAAAAAAGTTTGTTTTCTTAGGCACAGAGATTTCCTTGTATAATTCTATCTTAGGAAAATATGCAGAAATCCTAAAAATGAGTTATGTGCAAAGATCCCCACAGTAGCAGTATTAATAATATCACAGAGCAGGCCAGGCATGGTGGCTCAAACCTGTAATCCCAGTACTTTGGAAGGCCAAGGTGAGAGGATTACCTGAGTTCAGGGGTTCGAGACCAACCTGGGCAACCTGGTGAGACATCGTCTCTACAATAAATAAAAAAAATTATTTATAGCCGGTTGTAGTGGCGCATACCTGCAGTTCCAGCTACTTGGAAGGCTGAGGTAGAAGGATCACCTGAGCCCAGCAGGTTGAGGCTGCAGTGCCACTGCACTCCAGCCTGGGCAACTGAGTGAGACTCCAACTCAAAAAAAAAAATTAAAAATTAGAAAAATAATAGTATCACAGAGCACTTACTACATGCTAGACAGTGAAAGCACTACATATATACTGATTCATTTACTCCTCACAACAATATTTTCAGATAGGTATTATCAATATTCCCATTTTAAAAGTGAGAAAACCAAGGCAGCTGTTAAGTAATTCCCCAGTATCAACAACTGGCCAATAGTAAAGCTGAAAATCAAACTCAATCTGACATGGAGGGGAGCTGTGAACCTAACCACTATATTACCTAGAAATTACTTATGTGTTCTCAAACCATGTTTTCTAAAAATATTAGATGAAAGAGATTAAATATTACATTTTTAAAAGTATCCAAACTGGCCGGGCATGGTGGCTCACGTTTATAATCCCAGCACTTTGGGAGGCCAAGGTGAGAGGACTGCCTGAGCCCAAAGGTTCGAGACCAGCTTGGGCAACTTGGCAAGACCTCATCTCTACAATACATCAAAAAATTAGCCAGGCGTGGTGGCATGTGCCTGTAGTTACAGCTACTTAGAAGGCCGAGGGGCAAGGATCACCTGAGCTCAGCAGGTCATGGCTATGGTGGCAGTGAGCATGCCACTGCACTCCAGCCTGAGCAACAGAGTGAGATTCCAATTTCAAAAAAAAAAAAAAAAGGATACAAACCACAAAGAATAGAATCTCAAGGGTACTTATTAAAGATGACAGATAAGCCGGGTTCGGTGGCTCAGCCTGTAATCCTGCGCCTTTGGGAGGCTGAGGTGAGTGGATTGCCTGAGCCCTCGGGTTCGAGACCCGCCTGGGCAGCAAGACCTCATCTCTACAATAAATCAAAAAATCAGCCGGGTGTGGTAGCACATGTCTGTAATTCCGGCTACGTGGAATGCTGAGGCGGAAGGATCGCCGGAGCCCAGCAGGTCGAGGCCACTCCCAGCCACCGCACTCCAGTCTGGGCAACAGAGTAAAACTCCAACTCAAAAAAAAAAAAGATGACAGATATGCACAAAAAAAATTGCTGGACACAGGGGCTCACGCCTGTAATCCCAGCACTTTGGGAGGCAGAGATGAGAGGATTGCCTGAGCCAACAGGTTCGAAACCAGCCTGAGCAACATGGCAAGACCTCATCTCTACAATAAATAAAAAATTAGCTGGGCATGGTGGCACACATCTGTAGTTCCAGCTACTTGGAAGACTGAGGCGGAAGAATGGCCTGGACCCAGCAGGTCGACGCTGGGGTGGCCATGAGCATGCCACTGGACTCCAGCTTGGGTGATGAAGTGAGACTCCAACTCAAAAAAAAAAAAGTATTTCTCTCTTGGTAGTAGCTTATGGGTATTTGGGGGGTAATTTAATTGTCCCCTTAATGAACATGTTTTTGTCTCTGTGTTTTTGAAACAGAATCTCACTTTGTTGCCCAGGTTGGAGTGCAGTGGCACAGTCATAGCTCATTGCAACCTCAAACTCCTGGGCTTAAGAGATCATGCTGCCTCAGCCTCCCAAGTAGCTGGGACTACAGGCACATGCCACCACACCCAGCTAATTTTTTTTATTTTTTATTTTTTTGTAGAGATGACGTCTTACTATGTTGCCCAGACTGGTCTCGAACTCCTGGCCTCATCAATCCTCAGCCTCCCAAAGCACTGCGATTACAGGCGTTAGCCACTACACCTGGCTTTGAACATGTTTTATAATCAGAAAATTAATCTCCTTTTTAGAGAGCTTAGTCAGGTCACAGTCTTTATGGCCAAAGCCTAACAGACATAAACAGCCAAGTACCCACTTTCCCTCCTCCCAGGGGTATGTTTCCCCCTCACTATCACAGGAATATAGAGGTTTCCTCTTAATATTTAGCTTTAACAAATTCCTTGAAGTCAGGAGACATGGGTATTGTACAGTCTTTTATGGGTAACTCCAAGGTGCTCTCGGTCTATTTTTAACACTGTGGATAAATACTGCCAAAACTTTTGCAAGCAGAGATATGGAAAGAACAGAGAATGCCTCTGGCAGTACGGGGCTGAGGAACACAGGGAATTCTGGGCCATTTCTCAGCTAAAACATAAGCTCCACAAGCCTGGGTAAATGCATGGCAATCTTCTCTCCTTACTACCCCATAAGATTAAAAAAGGAAAATAAAGATGGACCACTGGGATCTCCTAGGTTCTATCCTCAGAAACCCAAATGTGGGGTAGGAGCCACCTTCCTCTTACTGACTGCAGGCAGAGCTTGTTTACAAAGTCAGGGTAAAGAAACCTGAAACACCAGTGGGAAAAAGCCATTTTGGTGTGGTGCCTGCTACTTAGAACAGGCCGGAAGGAGTAGCAGTGGCAGGAAGGAAGGGGTCCTGTGGCCTGAGTGAGAACACCCTGGGATTCCCACAGTCTAGAGAACCCTATTTTCTTCCTGATGCCTTTAAACTGGTTTAAGATAAAAAGCTGAGAAGTAAAATCACTTTTTTTTTTTTTGAGCAGCAGAATAAAGGCCTTAAAACTGATGATTTTTTCTGGGTTAAGTTACAACTAATGATGTTGATTCCAATCAAAACACCTGACAAAACACAATCAAGACACCTGACAAAACACCTGACAAGACCTGATAAGACACGCACCAACCTGCAACACAGACAAGGGAACAGAAACCAGGGGCAGCTAAGAGAGACTAAAAGCCACAAACAAATTCAAACTCCTCCCATCCCCATTCTTCATGCTTCATGCTTATTTGTGTCTCAGGATCAAACAACACCGATGAAATTACTTCTTCAAAAGGTAAGATGTCTCCCTCACCTCAAAAAAGCAAAATATGCTATTCAAATAGAAAGTACCCCATACCGTCTCCCATCCTCCCACACTACCCCACATCCTTCCACACTCAGCCCCGACTTACATATGCAAGCAGCAGCGATGAGACGGCAGGCTAGGTACGGGGGGTCACAGGTGGGGAAGGAAGGCTGGATGATGTAGTTGGCGAAGGTGATGGCGATGATGGCCTGACTGGTGGGCTCAACAATCAGAAGAGAGGCCCACAGGCGGATGAAGGCAATGAAGCCGCCAAAGGCCTCTAAAATATAAGCATAGCTGGCCCCCGACTTGGTGATGGTGGTCCCCAGTTCAGCGTAACAAAGGGCACCCACAACAGAGAAGAGCCCACCAATGGTCCACACGACCAGCGACAATCCATAGGAGGCAGTGTATACCAGCACACCCTTGGGTGAGACAAAGATCCCTGAGCCGATCATGTTGCCCACCACCAGGCTGACACCATTCAGCAGGGAGATCTCCTTCTTCAGCTGCATAGTTTCCGAGGACTTTTGAGGTGATGGGCTGACATCTTCTTCTACCCTGGATTGGCTGGTCCCAGGGATGAGATGGTAGGTAGTTGGTGGGCTCCCCAGCTCCCTGGTTTCCATGGCAAATGGTTCCTGCACACCTGTTTACTGTGGGCTGACAAAGAATACAAGCATGTCGGTCTAGGGCAGGGGTTGGTGAAGCTCTGGTTTAGACCAGATTTCCCTGCCTACCTTCTATTTATGAACAGCATGCCACACACATAGCCCTAATACAGTAAGCCCGTCTCAGTTCCCACCACAGGACACAGGGAAATGGAGGTAGGCGGACCTTCCCTGCCTCCAAGAAACACACCATGAGAGATCAGGCACAACATGATAGTGACTCCCAGTGAGAGGTACCTCTCTCGATGTCTGGAGAAGACTGGCATAGGTTTATCCTTAGCTGTAGAGTTCTGCTGTTCTCACCAGCTTTAAACCCACAAACCTGCACTGTAGAGAAGACAGTCCCTGCAAGCAGGTACACAGTCCTCACCAGTCTGAAAGTCCTCACTGTCCCAGGTAATCCTACCCACTCACCTCTACCCAAACATAAACTGGGACTTCTGCATTGTCCAGCCACACATGGAGACATTTGCAGCTTACTCTCAGGCTAGTGAAGAACACGAGCACGTGTGGAAAGGGATAGGAAGATGCTCAGATAAGAGCATATTGCTGTTGCAGAGATCAAACCAAGAAGAGGTCCCTCATGGAAAATACACACCTGTGTATCACTGTGTCCACAACACCCACCTTACTCCCCACATTGCTGCTTGCCCATTCAACACCATTCTTCTCCCAAAGTACCCAATAGAGAAGGATTACTTAACAAAACAAGATGGAGAAAAAACATCCAGGGACACCCTAACCTGGGGCTAACCTGCCATTGGCTTATTTGCTTTCCTCCTCAGCATGCCCCTCACTACCATCTGGGGTTAAAAAAAGATTCTCCCAGAACAGGACATAGGAGTCATGCCACCCAACCAAACCCGTAAGGCTCCCCCTCTCTACAGATCTAGTGTTGGAAGGCATCCTGTAGAGAGATGATATACACATCCCCTACCACCTCTGGATTAATTGGGCCAATCCAGACACCTCAAGAAGTTGGATTCCACATTAGCCTACCTTAATCTGTCAGAAGATAAGCACCTTCCTAACCGTGCACCCAGTGTGTCTTTCCCCTTCCCTCAATTCCTATGCCAGTCATGCTTCAGATCACCTAACCCTATCTCATTTTCTGGAGAAAGAAATCTGATGGGCCATCTGATTCCCAACCAGGAGGCAGTCCTTTAAGGTCACAGAGATAAGAATGGGATCAGTACATCATCTTTTCAGAAGGCTCTCATCTCCTCATCAAAGTTACATGTGCCAGAACCCAACCTCATGGAGCTTAGAGCAAGGAGACCACAGCCATAAAAGTCAGTAGTGAGCCGGGCTCGGTGGCTCAGCCTGTAATCCTGCGCCTTTGGGAGGCTGAGGTGAGTGAATTGCCTGAGCCTGCGGGTTTGAGACCCGCCTGGGCAGCGAGACCTCATCTCTACAATAAATCAAAAAATCAGCTGGGCGTGGTGGCGCATGCCTGTAATTCCGGCTACTTGGAAGGCTGAGGCGGAAGGATCGCCGGAGCCCAGCAGGCCGAGGCTACGGTGGCCAGGAGCGGCCACTGCACTCCAGTCTGGGCAACAGAGTGAGACTCCAACTCAAAAAAAAAAAAAAAAAAGTCAGTAGTTCTCAGGGAAGTTGCCAATCTCCACTGACTCTACCCAAAACTCTTGCCTCACCTGTACCAAACCCCTCCCCGAATCTGGACCTAATCCCAAGTGAAAAAGCTCCTCTGAGCCAGGCACAGTGGCTCACACCTATAATCCCAGCACTTTGGGAGGCTGAGGTGAGAGAATTACCTGAGCTCACAGGTTCAAGACCAGCCTAGGCAACATGGTGAGAACTCATCTCTTCAATAAATGAAAAAATCAGCTGGGCGTGGTGGCACACACCTGTAGTTCCAGCTACTTGGATGGCTGAGGCAGAAGGATCAACTGAGCCCAGAAGTTGAGGCTACAGTGGCCGTGAACGTGCCACTGCACTCCAGCCTAGGTGACAGAGTGAGACTCTGACTCAAAAAAAAAAAAAAAAAAATGCTCCTCTATGGCACCAGTAAGCCTTCCCCTAGTCTCAGAGGCAATGAAGCAGCCTACTCAGTTTAGATGAAGCTGAACATTAAAGGAGTACCACTTTTCCTTTCACTCTTGGCACCAAGTCACAGAGGTTTCCCTATGTAGGTATGTGGGAACATACCTGTTTTCACGTGTTTGTCAGGTGAAGCCAGGCATCCATGTGAACAACAGGTAGGGAGCCTATATTCTCACCTAAAAGTCAGGTACAAAGAGACTTAGGTTGCCTCTTCTATCCAACTCAACACAGAGAGAAGCAGAAAAACCTAACCCATGACCACTCCAGCTTCCTCTACTCCATCAGATATCAGTTGGGGGTATGGGGGGTTGAGACTATTTTCCTTTACACTTGTACAACCTGGCACTGGTGTCTCTGATATGGCTTTATCAAGGTTGTCAGATACACTAATGAAACTACCCAGTGGCCTTACTTGGAGAGATGGTGCACAATCACAGCCCCACAAGACCTTTTGCCTAGACCCTCAGTCCCAGCACTTGAATGAGAGAAAAGATTCCTGCTGGAAGGTTAAAAAGGACTCCTCCCTTCAGCTAAGAACAGAGTCAGAGTCACACACAATGGAGGGCAGATAAGGTTTCTTTTTCCTTATTCAAAAACAAAATGCAATTGTCATCAAGAGCCTGTCCTTGGCCAAAGTAAATTAACGTCCTTACCTCTTTGCTGAACACCCAAAAGCAAAGTTGTGATGTAACCCTTGCTCCCCAAGGGCAGATAGCTAAATCCTGGACCGTCTTGCCACACAATCCCAATGCCACCTCTCACCTCCCCTCTACATCTAAACCTCACCTTACACACCTCTACAAAATCTGCCAAGAACTTACATTATGCCAGGCTCTGTGCTGGGGAGAATAGTGAACAAAGCTGGTATGGACCACAGTCTCGTAGAATACACAACCAGGCAGTATGGCAGTATGAAAATGAAGACACGAAATCAGAAGACCCAGAGTCACAGACTAGAGCTCACCAGCTAGCTATACCTCACCCTTCTGTGACCTTCAGCTCTTCTGGTGGTTAAGAATGAGACAGGTAAACCGGGCTCGGTGGCTCAGCCTGTAATCCTGTGCCTTTGGGAGGCTGAGGTGAGTGGACTGCCTGAGCCCTGCAGGTTCGAGACCCGCCTGGGCAACTTGGCGAGACCTCATCTCTACAATAAATCAAAAATTAGCCGGGCGTGGTAGCACGCACCTATAGTTCCAGCTACTCGGAAGGCTGAGGCAGAGGGATCACCAGAGCAGGTCGAGGCTGCGGTGGCCGGGAACGGCCACTGCACTCCAGTCTGGGTGACTGAGTGAGACTCCAACTCAAAAAAAAAAAAAATTGTACCTGAATTTTTCTGAACCAACTGTATGGTGGTTCTATGTTTTTCCCACTACCATAGGTGACCCAGAGCTTGGATTTCTCCTTGGAGGTGCCTTTCTGTCAATTTCAGTCTAGTTGATTATTCTGTAACCTTAGCTTTTTGATGGCTTTAAGAAAAATTATGAGACTGGGTGTAGAGGCTCATGCCTATCATCCTAGAACTTGAGCTCAGGAGTTCGAGACCCTCGTGGGCAACAAAGTGAGACTCCTGACTCTACAAAAAATAGAAAAATTAGTCAAGCATGGTAATGTACACCTGTAGCTCCAGCTACTAGGGAGGCTGAGACAGGAGAATCGCTTGAGCCCAAGAGGTTGAGGATGCAGTGAACTGTGATCATGTCATTGCACTCAAGCCTGGAAACATAGTGAAACCCTGTCTCAAAAACATTTTTAAAAAAAGAGAAAAAGTATGGTTTTATAGCTTATTTTTGGTCATTGGAGTGAAAGTGATACCTTCCCAGCTTTCTACATTGAACAAAAACTAGAAGTTCAGGACGAGTTTTACTTTTTGAGTTGAAGTCTCATTCTGTCACCCAGGCTGGAGTGCAGTGACACGCTACTCATGGCCACCGCAGCCTCGACCTCCTAGGCTCAGGCAATCCTTTGGCCTCAACCTTCCAAGTAGCTGGAACTACAGGTGCGCACTACCACGCCTGGCTGATTTTTTTATTTATTGTAGAGACGAGATCTCACCAAGTTGCCCAGCCTGGTCTTGAACCCCTGAGCTCAGCCACGCCTCTCGCCTCAGCCTCCCAAAGTGCTGGGATTACAGACTTGAGCCACCGTGCCCGGCTCAGGTACAATTTTTAACGAATTACCAAATGTTAAGTGTGAGCTAGCAAGAGCCACAGACACTCAGAGGTTTTTCACCACAGACCTCAGTGGGTGCTCACAAGAAATATTGGGCAAGAAACCAGAGAAAGCCTCTCTCAGTAGTGATGGCCTGGAGGAAGAAAAATACAAAAGTCATCCTGGATCCTTCTCCTCTAAAGAATAAAATTTGTGGCTGGGCTCGTTGGCTCAACCTGTAATCCCAGCACTTTAGGAAGCCAAGGTGAGTCGATTGCCTGAGCATGCGCATTCGAGACCAGACCTGACAACTTGGTGAGACCTCGTCTCTACAATAAAAAATTGAAGCCGGGCTCCGTGGCTCAGCCTGTAATCCCACGCCTTTGGGAGGCTGAGGTGAGTGGATTGCCTGAGCCTGAGGGTTCAAGACCCGCCTGGGCAACTTGACGAGACCTCACCTCTACAATAAATCAAAAATTAGCCAGGCGTGGTAGTGCGCGCCTGTAGTTTCAGCTACTTGGAAGGCGAGGTGGAAGGATCGTCGGAGCCCAGCAGGTCGAGGCTGCGGTGGCTGGAAGCGGTCAGTGCCCTTCAGTCTGGGCGACAGAGTGAGACTCCAACTCAGAAAAAAAAAAAAAAAAATTGAAAATTAGCTGGGTGTGGTCATGCACACCTGTAGTTCCAGCTACTTGGAAGGCTGAGGTGGAAAGATCACCGGAGCCCAGCAGATAGACGCTGGGGTGGCTGTGAGTGTGTCACTGCCCTCCAGCCTGGGTGACAGAGTAAGACTCCAACTCA